GTTGATAATGAACTAAGAATTGAACCACCAATCCAAACTGCATATTTTCTTTCTGGAGGAGCAATAATACGAATTTTCATTGCTGATGGAGCTAATGCTGTTATTTCTTTTTGCATTCGATCAGCAATACCTGGATACATTGTTGTTCCTTCAAATAATAAACAAATTCAATTTAAATTTATATTAATAAATAATTAATTTACCTCCTGAAAGAATAGTATTTGTATATAATTCTTTTCGAATATCAATATCACATTTCATAATTGTATTATAAACCATTTGAGCAACACCAGACTCTTCTCGACCCAATGCAGCCGGTGCAAATAATGCTTCAGGACATCGGAAACGTTCATTACCAATCGTTATTACTTGACCATCAGGTAATTCATAATTCTTTTCAATACTATTCGAACGACTTGTAGTTGCTAATTCTTGTTCAAAATCTAATGCAACATAACAAAGTTTTTCTTTAATATCTCGAACAATTTCACGTTCAGCTGTCGATGTAAATGCATAACCACGTTCAGTTAATAAACGAATCATCCAATCAGTTAAATCACGTCCAGCTAAATCAAGACGAGTAATGGCATGTGGTATAGCATAACCTACAGAATTCAATATTTAGTTTAATAAAAAAAGAAACATGAAGAAAAATATTTTTAACCTTCATAGATCGGTACTGTATGAGATACACCATCACCACTATCCAAAACAACACCTGTTGTTCGACCACTTGCATAAAGTGAGAGAACAGCTTGAATTGCCACATACATAGCTAAATAAAACACAAAAATAGATTTATTATGTAAATAATAAAGCAAAATTTTCTAACCAGGTGTATTAAATTGTTCAAAAAGAATTTGTGTCATTTTTTCACGATTAGCTTTAGGATTTAATGGTGCTTCTGTAAGTAAAACTGGATGTTCTTCAGGTGCAACACGAAGTTCATTATAGAAAGTATGATGCCAAATTTTTTCCATATCATCCCAATTTGTAACAATTCCATGTTCAATTGGATAACGAATTGTTAGAATACCTTTCTTTGCTAAAGCTTCATCTCCAATGTAGGATTCTTTATTACCCATTCCGGGCATGATGGCAATATAATGTGGTCGACCAACAGCAGCTGGAAAGACAGCACGTGGTGCATCATCACCAGCAAAACCAGCTTTAACCATACCAGATCCATTATCAATGACAACTGGACATAAATCATCGTCAGTGTTGGCTGGCATTTTGTTTCAATTGAATTATCTTGTTGAATTTGTTTGCAATCGTATATTACTTTTTATTTTTAACATTCATAACCTTTTATATAGCGTAGATGAAAATACATTATACTCACTATTTATAGTTTGGTTGATTTTGTATGACCATATAAGGCATATTTTGTTTTCAATTCTTTAGCGATTGAGTCATATGAAATGAAATTACACAATTTCCTTGTGAATCCAGGTAAACGGGTGTAGTATAGCAGACCAAAAAAGGAAATCATGTTTCACAATGTGATAATACCAAAGAAGGATTAACTTCTCTATTAGATATATGATTAACAAAACTTTTGGCTTCGAACATTATAATGTATTAATCAGAATGGATCATTATAAACGTGTACGTTTAAGTTCACTGCCACTAGATGAAATCATTGATAAACAAAATTCGTCAAATTAACAGTAACATCACAATCTTCAGTTGTATTTATGTAAACGAGATCAAACAAATAGGAAGCTGCGAGTCTACGTTTTTGTGAACTTGGACCCGGATCTGGAAGGATTCGCAGCTTTCTAACGTTGAATCTCAGATCTGAGATTGGACACATCTAATATCGAATTGAGTGGAGGATTTATATTAAAACTCGAATTAATTCGTAGATCGATCTTTGATTTGGATGCTTATTGGTAAACTGAGAAGGATCAATAGCATCATTAGTTGATCAATGAAGTTTGAATTAGCAAAGATATGGACAATTTTATGCATAAAAAAATCTGCTTGCACCGAAAACTGTCCATAAGTTCATGGACTTAAACCTAACTGATCAAGTGATGATTAGTATTAATTGAAATACTATGGCTTCCTACCTCTCAGTTTATTAATAAGAATTCAAATCTGATATGGAACATATGCTCAGCTTCATTCTGATAAATAATGATATCGAGTCTTACGAAAAGACAATATTTTAATACTGTATCCAATATTCGATTTTCTAATTTATTCAATTAGTAAAACGAATAATAATTGTCGTAATCTACATTGAATAAACTTTTATCTTAACTTGTTTCTCTATTCGAACTTTGATATCAACAATTTCGAATACATATGTTATTATAAAATTAATAATACTATGAACGTTAAAGATTAACTCTGCTTAGATTCTCAATATGAAAAAGAGAAGTCAGTAAAATTTTCTTTAAACAACCAAAATCACTAGAGCAGAAATAGCATAAGATTCTATATATTACTTTTCGATTACTAAATCATTTAAAAGCATTTTTATTAGATGTAGTTGATATCCGTCGAAAAATTTTATTACAATACAAAAATAAACAGTTATCCACATAATTTTTATTGTTTTCAAAAACATTTTCGATGTACAATCGATGGACCTGATTCATCATATTCTCGTTTCGAAATCCACATTGCTTGAAACGTTGATAATGAACTAAGAATTGAACCACCAATCCAAACTGCATATTT